GGAGGAGGAGGAGAGAGAGCCCCGCCTGACGATCTCGGCCGCGGCGAAGGCGTCGCTGGGGTGGTGCTTGCTCTGCAGGAGCGCGGCGGCGCACGCGTCCACGCCTTGGGCTGCGCGCCCCCAGGGGGGAGAGTAGAGGTGGGCCACGGGGGGGGGGGGGGGCCGAGGATCGAGAGAGGCCTCCCCAGCCTCTCGTCCCTCGTCTTGCCTCTCCTCCTCCCCTTCCCCTCCTTTCCTCTCTCCCTCACTCCCTCCCTCCCCCTCCCTCCCTGCCTCATCCTTACCCCTTTCATCCTGCTCCTGCTCCTACTCCTCCTCTCCTCCCTCCCCTCATTGCTCTGCTTCCTGCTCCCTCCTCCTCCTCCTCCTCCTCCTTTCCTCCCTCCCTCTCCTACTCCTCACCCCTCTCCTCGTCATCTCCCCCTCTGATTCCTGCTCTCTTCCTTCTCCTCATCCTTCCCTCCTGCCTCTCCTCCTCCTCCTCCCTCCTCCTCCTCTCCTCCTCAAACCCTCCTCGTCATTCCTGCTCCTCCTCCTCCTCCTCCTCCTCCTCGCCCCCTCCTCCTCCTCCTCCCCCTCCTCCTCCTTCCCTCCTCCCTCCCTTCGTCCAAACTATCGTCTGCCCTCCTACGCCTCCTCCCCGTCCCCCTCCTCCTCCTCCTCCTTCTTCCCTTCCTTCTCCTCTTCCTCCTCCTCCTGCTCGTCCTCCTCACTCCCTCGTCCTCCATCGTCATCCTCCCACCTCCTCCTAAGGCGCTGAGGCACTGAATGAAGGCGACAGAGTCTCCAGACGCCGCCTTCCCTTCCCAAGGCCGGTCGGCCCTGGGGGGCTCCTCCTCCGCCTCCTCCTCCTCCGCCGCCTCCTCCTCCGCCTACTCCTACTCCTCCTCCTCCTCCTCCTCCTCCTCCTCCTCCTCCTCCTCCTCCTCCTCCTCCTCCTCCTCCTCCTCCTCCTCCTCCTCCTCCTCCCCCTCCTCCTCCTCCTCCTCCTCGTCCTCCTCTTCCTCCCTCGTCGCGAGCCCAGCGGCGGGGCGTCGTCCCCCTGCCGGGGCGCGAGGGGTCCCAGACATCTGGCCCTTCGACAACAGCGAGACGGAGGCTTATCACAGTCTTCAGCCTCTCGGGGCCCTCATCGGGCTTCGAGGCCGTCCAAACAACGGCTGGGGATGAGAGGCCTGTCCCGGGGAAGCGGTCGACAGGTCGGGGGCGCGTGTCTCGAACGCCGGATGTCTGGGTCTGAGGCGTCCCCCAGGCCACCTCGCGTCGTGAAAACATCGCGACGGGGCCACCAAGCGATTTTGCCCCGATTCGCACCGGCCGATGCCCCTCGCGTCGCGAACAGAATCGCGGCGGGTGTGTCTTCACAACTTCCAGGCCCCGGGACTGTCACTCGGGACGAAAAGCCGGTCCCAGGGGATGGGTCGAAACCTCGAGATGTTTTCGAGGATGAGAGGCCGCGGGACTTGCACTCGCAGGCTCCAGGCACTCAACGGAAACTCGAAGAGCAAGGCTTGTGGAGGAGGAGAGGCTCGAGAATTCGAGGAAGTCAACGAACTTCGAAGACCTGTTCGGACAAGACCGGGAAGCGCCGATGCTGTCCATTGGGCTCGTAGGGACGACAAGAAGAGAAGGATGATGGCCACGACAAGGCGGCGGATGTCGAGGATGGCAGCGTAGATGACGGGGAGGGCGGCGAGTGGGCAGAAGGACAACGGGTAGGAAGACAAGCGCGAGGACGAGAAAGAGATGGAGGATGAGTACAGGGAGAAATGAATCGGAGCAGGAGGAGGAGGAGGAGGAAGAAAAGAAGAAGAAGAAGAAGAAGACGAATAAGAAGAAGAAGAAGAAGAAGAAGAAGAACGACGACGACGTCGACGACGAAGAAAGACGGTAAGGAGCCCGACGAAAAGGACGTCGAAGAAGAGAGGAGTCCTCGTGTTCAGTTGAGGCTACCCTGTGGGCTGTTGAGGCCGTCGTCAGGGGATAACTTGGGGCGTCCTGGGGACCCCTGGGGACCTCTTGGAGGCCTGTCGGGGTCTTCTTGGGGACTACTAGTGTATTCTTGGGCTGTCTGGGCATGTCTTAGGGTCCTGTGGGGGCTCTCTCAGGCCATCTTAGCGCCATCTTGGGCTGTATTGGGCCGTCTCGGGGTCCTCTTGGGCATTCCCAGGGCCTCTTCGGGCGCTCTTGGGGGTCTCTGGGCGGATCTTGGGAGCCTCTTGGGGGTCTTCTTGGGCGCTTTGGGGGTCCCCTGGAGTGCCTTCGGGAGCTCTCTGGGGCCGTTTTGGAGCTCTCTGGGGGCGATTCCAAGATCATGCTGGTTCGGAGCCCCTTCCTCAACTCATGTTTTGAAGATGTTCCTGGCGAAACTGCCATTTTTCAGAAACCTTTCCTGACATGAACGGGAAGCGCGTGAAATCACAGATCATGGCAAGCGCATGCGGTGAAATCAACTGTAGCATAGGCGCTCTTCTCGAATGTCCACAGGGGGTACGAGGTGGAGTTCACTACCCGCGCAAGTTCACACGTGTCGCTGAACTGGCGCGCATAATAAACTTGTCTTCAAATGTGAGCAGGAACTTCCAACACCTCGCAACCAAAGATGCAACTGTGTTATGGGGTGGAGGGAATGAGGATAAGGAGGAGGAGGAGGTTGAGGAGGAGGAGGAGGAGGAGGAGGAGGAGGAGGAGGAGGAGGAGGAGGAGGAGAGGAGGAGGAGGAGGAGGAGGAGGAGGAGGAGGAGGAGGAGGAGGAGGAGGAGGAGGAGAGGAGAGGAGGAGAGGGGAAATGATGACCAGGAGCAACACGACGACGAGAAGCAAGGGAAATCAATGAGCAAGGGGGAAAATAACAAGGATGACGAGAAGGCTGAGGAGGAGGAGGGAGGGCGAGAACGAGAGGGAGGAGGGACCCGAGGGTGATAAGGAGGAGGACGAGGGCGTCGGTGGGGCGGTGAAGAAGCCTCGAGCAGTGTGTCTTTCACTTGTCGGCTGATTCCTCCATCTCTGGCCTCCTCTCTCCCCTGTCCCCTTCCTCCCCTGGCTGCGCCCCCCACCTCCTGCCACAGCCGCCTCCTCGCCCTTTCCTGGCGGGTGCCCGACCGTGCGAGCTGACGATTGCCCATGGCGACCGCACGCTTGTCGCGCGCGAGGCGTGGATCTATCACCGCCTCGGGGGGCAATCGTGAAGGGGCCCTGGGACACACAAGTAAATAGACACAACTCCCAGGATCCCTTATGTGTTCCCATCTGTTCTGGGTGTTCGTCCCCCCCCCTCTTCCCATAGTTTTCCATATTTTCCTGGGAACCGACGATAAAGTATGTCTGTGCGTTTTCCCATTCCTGACATCATATCTATGCCCACCGCCTGCTGAAGTCCCCAAAAGTCAATCCACCAAGAAAAGGTCATGGGAAATCCCCACCGCGCATCCCGGGTCACTCGATCAGCTCCGTCGATCGGGAAAGCCAGCGGGACAAAGCTCGCGATCGGTGATTATTTCATGACGGGCAACGACAGGGGAGGGAAGGGCCAAAGGGGCGACACATCGAATCGGCGGTACATCGCCAATGGATCGGTGATAGGCCCTCGGTCGTGAATCCTCACGTTCGGGGATATCGGGCCCCTATCGGCGATGAGTGGGCGACTGGGGTCAAGTCGGGGATGTCCTGCTACGGGCGGGTTTGGGTAGAAACATGTCTTACATTCAGAAATAGATTCGGGAAATCGTCCCTTGATTCTTTTGCTACTACTTGGGAATCTTTCGCCTGTAGAGGGACATGCCCAACTTAGGATTGGAAATCTAGACATCCCCCCATAATGCCTAGCCCCCCCTTGTCGTTGCCCCTGCCTGTGCAGTTTGGCTGGCTCTGACCCCTGTGACCCGAAATCTTAGACGAGCGCGTTCTACGACTCGCACAGAACCTACTCGCACATGGCCAGGATCCGCCGCGGGGGATCTAAGATACACTCCGCCGAGGCAGCCGTCTTGTTTTTCCCCCATGGACGTTTGCGAGCACACGCCGGTCGGAAGAAATGGGTCGGAAGATGAAGTCGGAAGGCGTTGGAAGCAGACTGGGCTTCCGCCCGCCCCCCGAAGAGGAGGGAAGAAGGGAACCAGTCGATCCCTAAAGCAGGAAGGCACCCAAAGCAGACGAGGATCTGGGAGTCCCAAAGTACCATCTACTGCTTAACGACCGGCGCGCGGGCACTTTGCCAGCAGTGGAACCCGCTGCGTGCAACGGGAAAGAGGGGAAGGAGATGAGGAGGGGAGGGGGGGGGGGAGGAGGAGGAGGAGGAGGAGGAGGAGGAGGAGGAGGAGGAGGAGGAGGAGGAGGAGGAGGAGGAGGAGGAGGAGGAGGAGGAGGAGGAGGAGGAGGAGGAGGAGGAGGAGGAGGAGGGGGGGGGGGGGGGGGAGGGAGGGAGGGGACCCGCAGCAAACGCGTTGTTCTGACGTTTGCGAGCGGGCATGCTGCGAGCAGCGGCGCGCGCCCAGTGAGGCGCGCGGACGTCTCTTGCCGCATGGCTTCCGCCGCGCCCTCCGCCGGCGGACCCGCCGCCGCTGCTGCAAAATTGCCCCCGGCCTGCCCCGCCGGAGTGCGAGGGGCTCGCGTCGGATGCGAAGAAACGTCCCTGGAAGGCGGAAGGCGCCATCCCACTTGTCGAGCAGGGCGCGGGCAATCAAATGATTACTGTTACAAGCAACTTATATAACGAACTCTTCAGGGGCACCGAGAGGCCCGTGCGTGCAAAAGAATCCGGATCGCTGTCTTCAGCAAGCGGAGGCCGCTCGCGCTCGCTGGAACCAGCGCTATCCGCCACACGGCCCAGTTCCAAGGCCGCAGCTTGGTGGCGGAAACAGGCCTGCCGCCTCGGCTCCACAGCGCCCACCAGCACATGGGGCTGCCACTGAGCGTGCGCCGCGCCGCCAGGAAGGCCCAACGCATCGAGCAACACCTCCGCCTCGGCCTAGTACCCAAGTTATCGCGGAAATCAACTTTTCCGGCCTCCACAAAAATATCCTCGATCGCCACCGCCACCGCCGACGCGAGCGACGCGATCGCCTCGACATCATGCGGAGTGGTGCGACCCTCCCGAGATGCACGATGGAGATCCGCCAGATAGGCCGCGACCTCCACCGAAGGCTCGGGAGCCGCAGCCAAGCAAGGGCTCCGCTGCCTCCGTGGCTTATCCGTCGTTAACCGCGAGCTCCCTGGCGAGCGCGGCTGCTCCCGAGCTGGAGAGGCAGGAGAGGTCCTCGGAGTACACAGCGCACTCCTCCGAGCCTTCCTCTCCCCCTCCGCCGGCACCAATGTCGGCGTGCGCCGTGGCAAGCACGAAGGCGGCGCCCGCCGCTCCGTCGTGCACGCGTTCCGCGTCCGAGGACTTGGACTCCTCCTCGGACGCACCCTCCTCGGGTTCCTCCTCGGCCTCCGCCTCACCGTTCCCGGCCATTCCCCCTGGGCACAGCGGCGGGGTGCACCTCCAGGCAGGCCAAGGTAGCCTCGCTGCGGGCTGGCGCTGGCGGTGAGGCGGAACATGCAGTGGCTTCCGCCGGGCCTGAGCCAGGCTCGGCCCCGCGCACGACCAGCACTTGAGCCCCACCGGAAGCCTCCTCGAACTCGGAATCGGAAGCGTCCAGAACGTCCACACCATCGAACACTCCACTGTCCTCATCAACGGGCTCGTCCTCCTCTTCGGTCGCCTCCTCACCAGTGCCCTGTTGCGTCGGCAATGCATGGCACTGCTCCAGGCCGGCCGTCTCCCCCCGCGAGGCCCCGGCGGCATTGGCCAGCTGCGCATCCGCGCGCGCCACGCTGTCGTCGCCCTCCACGATCGCCTCGCCGAGAGGCACCAGGAAGGCCTCGTCCCCGTCGACGCCCACCTGCTCCAGGAACCCGTCCGAGCCGCCCGCGGGAGGCCGCGGGAGGCACGGCGAGAACGCGACCGCTCCGCGCCTGCACCGCACACCAAGAGGCATGGCTGCGCACGGCGTGAAGGCAGGGGCCGCCGAACCCAGGGCATGAGTCAGAGCCCCGAATCATCAGGGGTAACTCGGGTCAGGGCTAACTCGGGTTCGTTTTCGGGAGTCCGAACCCGAATTATCCCGGACCCGAGTTACCCCGGATATTTCGGGCGTCCAGAGCCCCGAATCATCAGGGGTAACTCGGGTCAGGGTTAACTCGGGTTCGTTTTTCGGGAACCCAAACCCGAGTTACCCCGGACCCGAGTTACCCCGGATAACTCGGGCGTCCAAATGAGCCGCCGACCCGCCGCCGTGCCTCCGCCTGCGCTTCGTCTTCTTCCCCGTGGCTGCTCGCGCCGAGGGCTGCCCCGGGCGGGGCCCGTGCTGGGCAGCCCGCAGGGCTTCCGCGCTCGCCGCCGCCAGCGACTCCACGCCCTCGGCGGCCGCGTGGAGCGCCACGATGCGGCGCAGCTTGTCCAGCCATGCCGGCCCTTCCCCTCGAGCCAGCGCAGCGGGCGCGGGGACGAGCGCCGGCACACGATCGGCCACGCCCTGCGCGCCCGTGACCATGTCCAAGGCCGCCTCCTGCTGCACGGCCCGCGCCTCCAGCTCGCCGAGATCCAGCGTGAGGCGCTGGACCAGCCCGTCGGCCGAGTCCTGCGCCGCCCGCCCGGCAGCGGTCCGCCGCGCGCGCGCGAACGCCGCTGCCCAGCCCCGGAGTCGCTCGGAAGCGACCCCGCCCGCGCCATTTCGCCAAGCCCGCCCGCGCGCGCCCGAGGCTGGCTTGAGACAAAATGGCTGCGGACGGTGGGGGCATTGGATAAGGAACCCTCAGACAAGGAATCCAGGGTCTGGAGGCCGGTGGAACTCCAATCGAGGCTTGGCCATGGATAAGGAATCCTCCAGGGTCTGAAGCATCCTGGGCGTATTCCTGAACCAACGCCACCACCGTATCAAAATCCACGTCCAGAGCGTCTTGGACTTTCCTGGAAGGGGCGCCCCGCAAGGCCGCGGCGCACTGGGCATGGACAAACATCGAGCATCCAGAGGGCAGATGGTCCTCGCGATCCGGTGCGCATCGGCTCTCTGGGGAAGGGAGCCCGAAACGTCAAACTGCAGTGGGGGTGGACACAAGTCTTGCCCGCACAGGGGGTCGACGACAGGATGGAGTTACCCCCGAGTGGATTCTCGCGTCGAGTCCTGCGCGCACGTTCGTAGATCTACACGGACGTCTTACGAGTTTCTCGTGGATTCGACGACCACATCAATTCTGGGGTAGATAACTTGTGTAGGCGATCCCCTATTCGAATTTGCAATCTTCCCCGCCCTCTTCCTCCTCCTCCTCCACTTCGCCTTACTCCTCCCCCGTTCCGATCTATCACCTCCCCTCTTCCAGCAGCCAAGCTTCCGGCGCATGGCGGGGATGTCACGGATCATCTTCCTCAGGGCGTCCTTGTCCTGGCTGCCGAAGTGCAGCGTCTGCAGGCGGCCGAACACCAACGGCATGACGATGTCAAGCTTATCTGGAAGCCTCTCCTGCAAGTGTGGGAAAACGAGTCTTAACACGCAAGGCGGGAGCTAGGAGAAAGAGCAAGGACCGTGAGGGAAGAAGCAACGGAAAACTATACTCAGGTCGGGCATGTCCTCCTACAGGCGGATTCCAGGCGAAACATAACAAGTACTCAAAGCAAATTTTCAAACATGACGAACACATCGTCCCCAGAACTGTTTTACTATTCCTGAATACTCCTCCTGCAGAGGGACAGCAAGCCCGACTTAAAATCCGAGTGAATGTGCGTCATGGTCCCCACCTGCCTCCGCTTGCCGGCCGCGCACGCGGCCTCCAGCGGCCGACCAAAACGGGCAACAAGAACCTTCCCGAACCCAGAACCCAGAACCCGCCCGCCATTCCTGCGGGCGGGAACCAGCTCTGGGCCAACCCTCGACACAATCGCGTCGTGAAAAAGTCAGGACGAGAGGTTTTTGGCTATTTTCGGCCCCAGGGGGCCCTCGCCGGGCCTCAGGGCCGCCAAACAACGACTCAGGACGAAAAACTGTCCCTGGGGAAAGTGTCGGGACTTCCAGGGACGCCGTCCTGAAGAAATCAGGAAGTCGCATGCCTGGGACTCAGACCACAATTGGCTCCAGCACAAAAACCCGTGTGCCATAAAGCCGGCGGGAGGAGGGCTCCGCTGACCCCCCCCCCACGCTGCACGCGAGCCTGTTCTACCAGTGATGAGCCCAGACTCCCGACGTCGTGATTTGTGTCACTGCGTCGACCCCCCGAGGTCTGGACCCCTTCCCTGGGACCAATTACTCATCCTGCATAGTTTTGTTGACGGCCCTGGGGCCCGGGAAGGGCCTCTGGAGGCCGAAAATGTGGAAGAAACACCCGTTGCGATGTCTGCGGCGAGCTCGGGGGAAAGTGAGAAGGAGCGGGCCTTCTCAAGGTTCGGAAGTCCCCCCAACTTTCTTTAGAGCTCTCTGAGCCTTCCCCGAAGACACGGAACACTTCTCAGAGGGCGCGAGGGCCTCGGAGGAGTCCCGCCGCCTTCCGAGAAAACTTTCGCCTTCTCGCTTCCCCCCCCCCCTCGCTCACCGCCGATTCGGGGGTCCGCGCTGCGCATCAAAACTCCGCGCCCGTCCGTCTTCCCTTCCCCCCCCTTCTGCCTGGCCCCCGCCGACGCCCCGAGCCCATCGTGCCCCACCGCGGCGGTGCTGGCTCTGGCGCCGAGAGAAGTGCGTTCGCTTGATGGGCGTGTCTTCCACCACCACCACCACCACCACCACCACCACCACCATAGGTTGGAGGGGGAAGGAGCAGGTCGAGGTGGTGGAGGAGGAGGAGGAGGAGGAGGAGGAAGAAGAGGAGGAGGAGGAGGAGGAGGAGGAGGAGGAGGGCCCCCCCAACTCAATTATGGTGGTGGTGGTGGAAAACAAGCCCATCATCGTTCTCTCCCCAGCTCGTGGCTGCCTCGAAGCCCCCCCCAGCCCCGTCCCGGCTCGTGGCCGCCCCGCTCGCCCCCGAGGAGAGCAGGGAGGGGCGGCAGCAGCGCGGAGCTGGCGGCAGGGAGTGGGGACGACAGTGCGGTGGCAACTCGTGGGAGCCTCCCGTACCATGCTGTCGGCTCCTGCGACTCGACGCTCGTCGACGCCAGGTCGACGCCAAGCGACGCCAGATCGACGCCGAATCGGCGCGATCCCATCGTCTCCCAGACGCTGATCGACGCCAGCCGACGCCAAAGACGGAACGGAAAGCCCCCGAAGTTCTCTCGGCGGCGACCCGCCGCCAGGGCCCGTCGCCGCCGCCGCGATCGGAGGAATCGGGGACGAGGAGGAATCGGGGACGAGGAGGAATCGGGGACGAGGAGGAATCGGGGACGAGGAGGAATCGGGGACGAGGAATCGGGGACGAGGAGGAATCGGGGACGAGGAGGAATCGGGGACGAGGGAATCGCCGCCGCCGAAGACGAGGCCGAGGAGGAATCGGGGCCAAGTCGCGCGGCACGAACAACTTCGAGGCCCTCGAGGGCGCCCACGCTCTGGCGCCTGGATCCGTCGGTGCCTGCCCTGCGCACCGTCCTGCCGATGCCTACAGCGTCGCCAGTCCGACGCCGAGGCATCACCAGGCCGATGCCCAGGCATCACCAGGTCGACGCCCAGGCATGTGCTCAGCCGAGGTACGTCCATGGATGTGTCCCTCGATGCATGCGTAGGCATGCCCGCGCGGATGCCCGGGCATCAGCAGCAGCATGCCCAAGCATCCACATGGCCATGCCGAGGAATGCTGCGACGATCAGGCTGGGGGAGGGTCCACGTGATGGCTGGGAGCAGAGCGAGCGGGCAGACCCAAGCCACGCCTCAGGTTTTCTCCTACCTGCCCACTTCGGTCTGTTCTTTTTTTACTGTGCCTGCCCCTTCGCCACTACCGCCGCAACCAGAACTGGGAGGAGGCTGGGCAATCGGAAGGATTGGGAACCGCTGGGCCACCACGGCGCCACTGGCGATGGCCATGGGCGGCCGCGGACAAGCGTGGCCAGATGCCGCCGCCACGGCACCCCTCGCCCCCCCCTTCCCCCTGATTCTGAGCTCTTGTCGCAGGCCTGACCGCCGTCTCGCCATCTCGCCCCTTTCCCCCCTCATTCCTCTCCCGCTGCGCTGCCTTGCTGGGGGGGGCAGGGCAGCGTTGTGGCACGACTCCCCGGACCTCCGATGTCTTGATCTTTTCCATGCCGGGGCCCAAGGAGCGTTCTGCCAAGGGCTCGAGCTTAACAGTGTTTTTCGTTTTCGGCTTGTTTTCACGCTCCTTCGTTCTGTCTTCGTTCTGCCTTTGTTGCGGAATGAGACCAGAACGAAACCGGTCTCCGAACTTGCCAAACACCGTCAGCTCCAGCCCTGTGGCGTCCTGGGGACCGTTTTTCGTCCCGGATAATTGTTTGACGCTCCCGTGGTTCAGCGAGGGCCCCCCGGCGCCGAAATAGACAGAAAGCCTCCGCCTTGTTGTTGTTGTTGTTGTTGTTGCTGTTGTTGTTGTTGTTGTTGTTGTTGGTGTTGTTGTTGTTGTTGTTGTTGTTGAAGAGCCCCAGGGACACACAAGTGAATAGACACATCTCCAAATGATCCACTGATGTTTCAATCTTGTCTGGACTCTCGTTCCTCTCCCCACTTCCCAAATCTCTCCTTACTTTTCCATGTGTCTGTGTGTTGTTGTCCCTCCTGACTTGTTCAATGCGTTGGCAGAGGCAGAGCCAACTGCACAAACATACCCGTCGGTCGGAAGAACTGGGCAAACACATGAAGTACGAAGGCGTTGAAAGCAGATTGGGCTTCCGCCAGCCCCCTGCAGGAAAGGGAGGAGGGACCGCCACTCGACTCTGAAAGTAAGGGGGGGGCGCCGAAAGCATTGCGACCTGGGCATCCCAAAATACCTACTTTTGACGACCGACGGGTAATTAAACTTTTAGAGCTACGCGCGCATTTCTCGGATCTGCGCGTAACCCCTCTCTCTGGCGCGCGGAGCGCGCCAAGGGCGGCGCCGTAGGCGCCGCCAGGGGGGGGGGGGCCAGCGCCGATCCAATAACTCCGCGCGTGAAAGTCTATGTTTAGCCGATGTTTCTTCTTCGAGTTGGAGGTCTGGGCCTCGTGCCCGCTGCACCGAACACCGAGGAGCAGAGCCCCCTCCTGCACCTGCAACACCAGCTTGTGCAGGCAGTCCGCCGAGGGGCAGAAAGAGGCCAGGCCCGTGAACGAGCGCTCGACGCTGCTCGCGAGCTCCTGCTCGTGCCTGGAGCGCTCCTCCGCGTCACGGACCTCCAGCTCCTGGGCAGGACTGGTCGGCATCGAATCGGTACGGCCGGTTCGTGTCGTGGCGGCTTTGGCCTTGGGCTCCGACACCGCAGGGATCGTTCAACCTTTGAGCGATCAGCCGTTTCCGAAACGCCAGGTCGTTCAACATCGAACGCTGGCGTCTGGGTCGCCGGCGGCGTTCAACATTGAACGCTGGCGGCAAGATCGCCACCGGTCGACGCGACGCGAACCTACCGTGAATTGGATCGACTCAAGATGCGTATCGGATCGGGCCGCATCGGCACGGAGTCGGATCGGCTGCGCCAGGATGCACAACATCGCCGTGCAAACACCGAGCCGTGACCGGGCTGGGCTGGCCCAAATGGACACCGAACGGGATCGATCGGATCGAGATGACCCCCTCCAGGGGGAGGAGGAGGAGGAGGAGGAGGAGGAGGAGGAGGAGGAGGAGGAGGAGGAGGAGGAGGAGGAGGAGGAGGAGGAGGAGGGAGGAGGAGAGGAGGAGGAGGATGAGGAGGAGGAGGAGGAGGAGGAGGGAGGAGGAGGAGAGAGGAGGAGGAGGAGGAGGCCGCCGGAGGTGCGAGGCGGGCGGCGCAGGGAGCGCCGACCGGGCCCGGCGGCCGCTGTGCGCGGGGGGGGCGCGGCGGGGCAGGGCGGGAGTTTGAGGTCGGGGCGCTGGGCCTATGAGGAGCCCCGCGTGGAGGAGCGAGGCTCCCCGTGGCTCCACGGGTGGAGCGCTTCGACTTCCCCCTCGGGAGCCTACAGGGCCGTTTGTAATACATAGATTTTTTATTACAGAAAACATAAAAAATATACATGGTTAATTCAGGATTGAATTTACGCACGGACTCCTCGTTGCTTTTAGTACTAACCGCCTGCATGTTTGATACATGATCCGCACGCGGAGCATGTATCTAAAACGGCACTGTACGGAGGAGGCCCGAGGCGGACGGTGCCACAAGGAATTGAGGAACACGGAGCCGGAGTCCCTCCCCGACGACGAGGGCTCCTGCTGCAGCGCCCCGACTGCGCTATGCGTAAAATCCAACGCTTGCCGTCGCTCGGACGTCCATTTCCTGTGCATTTTTCGGTTTCGTGCGTGGTTGTTTCGCCAAGTGATCGAGGATGCTCCTCGATGGTCCTCGCCGACGGAAAAATGCACACGTCCGAGCGATGCCAAGCCACAGGTCTGGTGGGGAGGCGCCCGCCGCCGTGTGGGGCCCAGCAGCGTGTTTTGCCGCTGCAGAGGCGCTGGGCCTCCGGGCGGACGCAGAGGAAGGACACGCTGCAGCGGGCTCCCGACGGCCGCGTGTCGGTGACGTTCTTCTCGGGGATGGGCAGACCCCCTTTAGTAAAACGTGGTTTAGTGAAAACGACCTGAGGCCCAAACCTGGCGGACGCAAGCCTGTGGCATAAAGGCCACGGCTGTGAATCAACGTAACGTGTAGTTGTGAGAGGCAAAACTGATATGAAGCAGGTATAGAAGCTTCACAACGCCTTCCGTCTCCTGCTCCTCCACCCCATCATCCTCTCCTCACCCCTCGTCCTCTCCCACCCTCCCCTCCCCCGCCCTCCTCATCCCTTCTCTCAGCCCCTTTCACATCATCAACATCATCATCACCAGCATCAGCACCATCATCATCATCACCATCATCATCATAGTCATCATCCGCATCATCACCATCCCCATCAGTGTCATCATCATCGTCATCGCCAACAGCATCGACATCGGCATCATCATCGTCATCAGCAGCATCATCAGCAGCATTATCATCAGCATATGCATCCTCATCAGCATCATCATCAGCATCCGCATCATCATCGTCATAGGCATCAACATGGTCATCGGCATCGTCATCGTCATCCGCATCATCATACCCCCCCCTCCTCATCGAGATCGCTCATCCATATCCCCTCCATCCACCACACCTCGCCCGTCCTCCTCCTAGTCTCCTCGTCCTCATCTTCGCCCTCCCCCTCCTCCTCCTTCTCCTCCTCCTCCTCCTCCTCCTCCTCATCCTCTTCCTCCTCCTCCTCCTCCTCCTCCTCCTCCTCCTCCTCCTCCTCCTCCTCCTCCTCCTCCTCCTCCTCCCCCTCGTCCTCCTTCACCTCCTCCTCCCCCTCCGCCTCCGACCTCTAGCGCGGCGCGGAACGCGGGTGGTACAGACGCCGAACCCAGTGGCCAGGGGAACGCATTCCCCTCTTCCCCCTCGTCCTCTTTCTCGTCCTCCTCCTCCTCCTCCTTCTCCTCCTCCTCCTCCCCCTTTAACTGTACCTCCTCCTCTTCCTCTTCTCATATTCTTGATTCAGGTGGTCCGACGCTTGGCTATGATCTGTCATGGCATGCGTGGTATGATATGGCATGCCATGCTGTGCTGTGCTGCACGCTGCGTATGTCTTGGTACGCTAATTTTGTTGCCATGCTGGGCAATGCTGTGACAGGGTGGTACGCTATGCTACCATGCTGGGCAATGCTGGACATATGCGATGATAGGATGGCACGATATGCGATGCCGCGCCCATCTGAATGCAGGGCAAACGCACAAGAGGGCGCACGCGCGGCTTCGCCGCTTCAAACCGAGCACGCGGGTACGCTGCCTGCGCGGACTGCTCGAATTAAAATTTGATGCGATGAAACTGTGACTTCTTCAATTTCGGAAGCCACGTGAATGCTGGGTGGCGCCTGTATTGGGGCCGAGTATTCTTCGGGTGGTTGGGCCGACGCGCGCGCTAAGAGGGTTGGCCCATCAGCCTGAAGATACCTCCCATGTCACCCCTCCTCCCCCCCTCCTAAGCCCAGTGGGCGCATGGAGGGAGGAGGGGTAGATTTAAAGTCCACCCCATCTCCCCAGTATCCCCAGGCTGACGGGCCCAAGCCTCTGCTCGCGAGCTTCGGCCCCGCTGCTGAACACGAATGGGCGCCAACCTCACGGCTGGAATCAGGTCGTCATCAGTAACAATGATCAGACCGTTCTTAAGTGCCAGCGTTGCCAGCGTAGCATCTGTTCCAGCATGTTTCAAACGTATCCTTGCAGTCTCGATCTCCTTCCAAATCCTCTTCTGTCGCCTCTCCTGTGGCGTATCATCCCACACGCTGCAGACCGCGAACAGATCGGCCGCCATCGCGCCGACTCTGTCGGCCAGGCCGCTCTGGCTCTGGGCGGCGGGAAAGATGGCGTCCTAAAATGGAGGGGCTCGGACGGGCATCGCTGGGCCCGAGGCGGCCTGAGGGCGATGGCTGAGGAAACGATGATGGCGATAACGTCCACCACTGCTCTTCGCGAAGCGGCTGCAGTCCCCGAGGATGGTCCAGATGGTTTCCTTGTGGTCCAACTTGTGGGGGGCCCCTGGGAGGGCCCTATCACGCTATCACGGCTGGACCCGCCACGAAAGTTGGTTCGAACGCGCCCCGCGCGACAACGTTCGGCGACGAAGAGGGCGACGCGGCGACGCGGGAAACCACGGCCGCGCCCAGCAGTGGGGTGAGCGATGGCGAGGGGATGAGGGGATGAGGAGATGAGAAGTACGAGAAGGGAAGCCACTCATCTAAGTATTATGATGGCCAGGGAAAGGAAAGGGGGCGGAGGAATGTGAGGGCCCAAATGTTCTGACGCAAGCGTTGAAAATAACGCATCGATATGTCGATATGCACAGTGTGCTGTGCCAGGCCGGCTGCGCCGCGGTGACCGCCACACATTGCTGGCCCCGCGCGCAATACTATCATCCGCGGCGCGGCCAAGCCAAACGAGAAACAGATGACACGGATGACGGATGCCGAGCGCCGAGCGCTATGTCGAGATATCGAGTGTCGGTTTCAAGTTCATCTCGTGTTAGCCATTCCTTTCGAGAACCCGAGAACCCGAGAACCGAGCTGAGCGCGTCGCTGGCGCGGCCCCGTCGGCCCCGTCGTCCATTGGACGACTCGTCCAAGCCCAGACGGCGTGGGGCCCTAGCGAAGGAGGTGCTTGCCTGCTTTCACAAGCACGGGGTCGAGCGAGATCGGCCCGCCACCAGCAGCGCTTGCTCCGTCAGAGCCACCGTCGCCGCCAGCAGCCTGCTTCGAAGCTGCTGCAGCGGCTGCAGCGGCGGCCAGCGCAGTCTTATAGGCGGCGACGCCGAAACGTGGCGCAAGCTTCGCGGCGCCAGGGGCGTGCTGCTGCCTGCGCTTCCGCACAACACCAGCTTCGCCCGACAGGGCCACACGGGTGGGCTTAGTCTCACATGTAATCGGTGCGTCCGTCGTGGACGGCGCAGGCTTCAACACTGGAACCTGGAAGACCCTCCTCATTCTCCTCTATTCCTCCTCGTCTTCCTTCTCCTCCCCATCCTCCCTTTTCACATGCACCTCCACCTCATCCTCCTCCTATCTTCCTCCTCCTCCTCCTCCTCCTCCTCCTCATTGTCCTCCTCCTCCTTATCCTCTTCCTCCTCCGCCTCCTCACCCTCATATCCTATTTCTCCCACCCTTCCTTGCTCGTTCAAACCGATTTGACAAAAAACAACTCTCCTCCTGCTCCTCATCATCATCCTCCTCTTCCTCCTCATCCTTCGCCTCCCCCTCATCTTCATCAGCATCGCCATCACCATCGCAGCGATGGCCCTGGTGCCTTCAAGGCGAGGCGCTGCTGCGACATGAACTGGCTCATGCCCGTCTTCTCCTGCTGCGGCGCCTGCGCGGACATGTTCAGCTGCAGGCCGTGCCAATAGATCTCCATGGTGGGGTCATTCTCGACGACCTTGACCATGTAGGCGGGGACCGCGATCTCCGAGAAGAGCGACGCGTTCCCGACCATGTAAAACGGGACGCCGTAGAGCTCACCGAGCTTGATGCCGTCCTTGGGCGGGTTAGTAGTGACCGAGCCAGCGAACGGCAAGCGCAGATCATCATTCGTCAGGTCGATTTCCAGCGTCGGGTCCTTGGCACGAAAATTGATGCTGATGTTCCCCCAGTGCTGGGAGAAGCTCTTGTAGTAGTTCCACACCTGCTTCTCGGCCTCCGCCTCGATCATCTT